TGTATATATGTATGCTTCCCACTTGCCTCCCACCAGGGGTTGAGCCTGCAACCCAGGCATGTGTCCTTGACCGGAATCGAACCCAGAACCCTTCAGTCCACAGGCCGATGCTCTATCCACTGAGCCAAACCAGCTAGGACAAAAAATATACATATATTTTTAAAAATGACAATAGCCAACACAACAATAGCTGTTTGGTATGAATGATCAAAATTATACCTATTTTATTTGTCAGATCAGCAAAAATATATATTTTTTGGTGTGCCACAGAATTTTAGTAGTTAGTTAATGTGTGCCATGAGATTAAAAAAAGGTTGAAAATCACTTCTCTCGTGGCTTCTCAACTCAAAGTCAAGGCCTTACAAGATCTGGCCCCTGTTATCTTTCAGACCTCATGGTAGGATAACCAAATGAGTTATCATCCAAACCAGGACACTTCCACGAAGTAAATCAACTGCATAGGAGATGGGGATATTGGGGTAAAACTGGGGCTGACAGAGGCATATGGGGACAGGTGGTCACGGTCTTCCTCACTCTGCTGCAGCCACACTGACTCCCTTGAACATGACACACTCACCTCAGGTTCTTTGCACTGGCTATTTCCTCTGCCTGGAACGCTCTTCCCCCAAGAAATCCACAAGACTTGCTCCCTCACTTTCTTCAGGTCCTGACTCAATGACCTTTCTCATTGAAACCTTCCCTGGCCACCCTATTGAAATTGCAAAAAGATTTTTCTCTATTCTGTGTGTGTGTGTTTAACACACACACACACACACACACACACACACGCACTCACGCACGCACGCACACATATGCAGGCACACACACACAATACCTTTGTGTTTTTATCTTCTATGAAACAGGAAAAAATAAGTCCTACAAAGCCTTGATCCATCATCTGGTACATGGCTTGTGTGCGAACATCTGTAAATAAAAATCAAAATCTGCTGTCAGTAAACTGTATCTCATAGACATAAAGATTTAAAAGTAGTATACAATCCTCCCAAGATTCAGATTCTATAGGCAGAAAAGGAATATATCCTCAGAACAATATGGTTGTCGAAGTATTAATATTTCACTAGGTCAGAAAAATACTATGGGATGTCTGCAATTAAATTAGAAAACTTATTAATAACTCTAGGCTGCCTACCCCAAGACTAGCCCTCCTATGAAACGTAGCATAGAAAAAGAAAAATGGAAAACTTAAATTAGCCCCCAAAACTTGATAATTGCTTCTAGGGGACCCAAAGAGAAAGGAGGGCACTGGAAAGAAAGAAAAAAAGATTTCCTAGAGCCCAGCCACCATGACTCAGTGGTTGACTATTGACCTATGAACCAGGAGGTCACATTTTGATTCCCAGTCAGGGCACATGCCTGGGTTATAGGCTCAACCCCCAGTGGGGGGGCATGCAGGAAGCACCCGGTCAATGATTCTCTCTCATCATTGATGTTTCTGTCTCTCTCCCTCTATCTTCCTCTCTGAAATCAATAAAAATATATTTTTAAAAAAGATTTCCTAGAATAAACTTTTTGATGGATAGCTTCTGGGGAAGTGAATATATTAGACTTGATACTAAAAAACAGAAGCATAGACCTATTACAGAGGAAATTCTTTTTTTTGCATTATCTTTTTTTATCTTTAATTTCTTTATTGGTTAAGGTATTACAAATGTGTCCTCATCCCCCCATTAACCCCCAACTCCCCCCACCCCCGCCACTCATGCTCTCATCCCCCTGCTGTCCATGTCCATTGGTTTGGCTTATATGCATGCATACAAGTCCTTTAGTTGATCTCTTCCCCTTACCCCCAACCTCCCCTACTTTCCCTCTGGGGATTGATAGTCCAATCACTGTTTCTCTGTCTTTGGATCTGTCCTGTTCATCAGTCTATGTTGTTCTCTATATTCCATAAATGAGTGAGATCATGTGGTATTTATCTTTCTCTGACTGGCTTATTTCACTTAGCATAATGATCTCCAGTTCCATCCACGCTGTTGCAAATGGCAAGCAAGAGTTCCTTCTTTTTTACCGCAGCGTAGTATTCCATTGTGTAGATGTACCATAGTTTTTTAATCCACTCATCTGCTGATGGGCACTTAGGCTGTTTCCAAATCTTAGCTATTGTAAATTTTGCTGCTATGAACATAGGAGTGCATACATCCTTTCTGATTGTTGTTTCTGGTTTCTTGGGATATATTCCTAGAAGTGGGATCACTGGGTCAAATGGGAGTGAGCAGGGCCAGCGCTGTCAGTGCATGGCAGCCACCGTGATGGGAGTGGGGCTGCAGCAGACAGGAGACGGGGGACGATGGTGGGAGGGACCGGGCAGGGGTACGGAAGATGGGCCAAAACCCGACCCTGTGCCCACCACAGCCTCACAGCCCACAGTTTCTTTCAAGGTGCACAAATTCGTGCACTGAGCCCCTAGTCTGTTAAATAAGAATAAACATCATCCCTACATTCACAGGGCTTTGTATTTTTAAAATTGCAAGATTTTTTAGCACAAAGCCTAGCACATCAAAGGTATTTCATAAGCATTCCTGAAGCATTGTTGAACGGCTATCTGAGTCTGAAAAGGATTACTGTCCATACCATCCCACCCAAAGTGCTTTTATCAAGATCACCAATGATCTATTCTTGGCCCTCAATTTACCTGATTGTTCCCTCCTTAAAACTGTCTTCACTTGGCCTCCCACTCCCACTCTTCCCCTCTGTCCTCTTACCTTCGTGGCTGATCTTTTCCAGTCTCTGATCTTGTTGGATCCTTCCCATCTTCCCACTCCTGACATAGTGGCATACCAAGGGCTATACTCACTCTCTGGGGGATTTCATCCTGTTCCACGGCTTCATACCTCATCTCTACACTAACCACTCCCAACTCGCACCCAATAAACTCTAGTCCCAGACTTCTACCCCCAACTCCAGAATCATATATGCAATTGTCTACCTGACACTTTGACTTGGTTGTCTGACTACAGTGTCGCTCATTCAAAATGGAGTGCTGAAATTTTATCTCTATTAAAAATACTCAATATGATGTAAATCATTACTTTTAAAACATAGCACAATAAAAATTAGGATACCTGTTTAAGGATAGTTAAATTTTGCTTTAAAGCAACCATAGGTCACATAATGGAAAAGGAAAATCATATTCATGTCTAAGAACAATAAACACTGCAACCCCATACTTACCAACATGTGAAGGCCAAACAGTTATATGAGGATGGGAGTGATACCAGCCCACCACTCTCATGGGACGACCTGTTAGTTCAGCCAACCTGTGTGTCTGTCAAGGTATTTTCAACTTGTGGGAATAAAAAGCAGTGATGCTGACAAGGGCTCAGAAAGTATCCTGAGGTTGAAAACAAACCGTTTACAATTTAATGTCAATAAAGAATGAAGTAAGGTTGATACCCAGAATTTCCCAGACTTCCCATTTAAAAACAAAGGAGTCTCTCTCTCTCTCTCTCTCTCTCTCTCTCTCTCTCTCTCTCTCTCTCTCTCTCTGAAATCCACTCAGTTCCCATTATTGTATATAGTTACATTCTCCTTAGCTAATGTTTGATCACTGAAATACTTATCACTGTGCTGTCTGGAAAAACTTTTCTAAATCTTCGGAAGTCGCTTACATTATTAACTGGAGTACAGTGGGGCCTTGACTTACGAAATCGGAGACCGGGCTCGTTAAGGAGCTCGTTAACTGAAATTACTCTATCAACTCAATGCAAAAAACCTGGCGAGACAGCTGGTATCTCAAAAAACTCCTTAGTCGGGACACTCGTAAGTCAAGGCCCCACTGTTCTGTTCTATCCTCTCTCTCTCGCTCCATCCTATTCCCATTTTTGAAAAATACAAGATTTTAAAAATTCACTTGCTTTCTCTCTGGCAGGCTACCCATGTCAACAATAGCAACCAGGGTGGTTTTGTTACAGGATAGTAAGAAGCTAGGAAAATTGCAGAGCAGAAGGAATAGGGAAACTGAGACAGGAAAGTTCAAACAAGGTCAAAGCCTGTGGGCAATTGGCAGCTGGCCTGCAAATAACAAGCAATTATCTTCCCCAGCCAAGGACACTTGAGAGCAAATGGTTAAAAGCCTCCCTAAGGAAGGAATGCAGGAAAGGAGGGGGGAAGGGGAAAGGAAAGAAAGGGCGGTTTTACTCCCTACGCAGAGAGGGCTTGGAAGATAAAATTGCCCCGTGCTTCTCGTGAATTCTGGGAAGGCCACAACAAAGTTAAAAGGGACCTTGAGAATCAATCTAAACCAAGATATTCAACAAGAGAATCTTTGAAACCTATAGACAGGAGGGCATATAACGCCTAGAACCCTTGCCAGGTACTCACTTTTCCGGGTTAGCCGGAAAAGCCCATCTGTGCTCCCAGCTGGTTGAAATGAAAGGGATTTGCTTGCCTTGCTTCTTTATTAAGTTCGCTTGCTTTAATTGCTTCAATAAATTAGCTTTATCACAATGCAATCATCTGCAGTTTTCTCATTTAAATTCATTCCTTTGAGAAGACAAGACTCGAGGTTGGGGACAGCCCTCCCACTCTGGTGTCTGTGTGAGGTGCCTGTCACATGTGCAGAGATCAAATGAACCTAGTTCAGTCTCCCCATTTGTCTAGAAATAGCCCCCAAAGGAATCTTTTCCTCCTTTGTTCTGGAAACAAAATTTCCCTATAATTCTGAGGCTCTAACTTGAGATAAGAACTCAACTCAGAGCCCTTGGCTGGTTTGGTTGGCTCAGTGGATAGAGCATAGGCCTGCGGAATGAAGGATCCCATGTTCGATTCCGGGCAAGGGCATGTACCTTGGTTGCAGGCACATCCCCAGTAGGGGGTGTGCAGGAGGCAGCTGATCAATGTTTCTCTCTCATCGATGTTTCTAACTCTTTATCCCTCTCCCTTCCTCTCTGTAAAAAATCAATAAAATATGTTAAAAAAAAAAAGACCTCAACTCAGAGATAAGCTCTCCCCTTCAGATGCTGCTTACTAAGACTGCTGCTGCCCTGGCCTGTTTGGCTCAGTGGATAGAGCGTCGGCCTGTGGACTCAAGGGTCCCAGGTTCGATTCCGGTCAAGGGCGTGTACCTTGGTTGCGGGCACATCCCCAGTGGGGAGTGTGCAGGAGGCAGCTGATCGATGTTTCTCTCTCATCAATGTTTCTAACTCTCTATCCCTCTCCCTTCCTCTCTGTAAAAAAATCAATAAAATATATTTTTTTAAAAAAGACTATTGCTGCTAAAGTGTAAAATGCTGGCTCACTTCCCTGCAAATTACATTAAAACACGATAACACTTTTTTATACGACTGAGTCTAAGAAAGAATACTTTTTAAGTTATCTTTTTTTTTTCAGTCGCCAAGAAAAATTACTTAACTGCTCTAAGCTCATTTCTTCAGCTGCAGATGGGGGGAGTCCAGCTCACACAGTGAAGAGTAAATGAGGTAATCCAAGCAAGGAGCATCTTGCCTGGCACCGAGTAAGTACTTGATAGACACTCACTGTCATGTCAGTACATTAACATGCAACAATGTGTCCAGCCATCCCTCTCCCACTTTGAGAATGGACTCCTTTTAGTTTGAAGTTACAATCCATAATCGCAATCAACACACATCTTTTCTGGGAATTTTATTTTGGATAAGTTTGTCTTTGTTTGCTTGAATACCAATGAATGGGCTTTCTGCTTCTGGCTCAAATGGAAGAACAGTGACTGGACTTATCTCCTGCCTGAGACAAGCAAACAAGCTGGATTATATGAAACAGGAAGGCCAACAAATGGGAAACAAACAAGGTGAGCCCTTGAGAGAATGTCCAGGCCACAGAGCAGGAAGGGGAACTGAGGTGCAGCTCAGCCGGCTCCCTGGGCTTAGGAGATGGATCGGACAGTCCAGCAGCTAGAGTTGGCAGGGTGGAGGACTGGGAAGAGAGCAGCAGAGGGAAAAACTCTTGCATATCCACAGAGGGTCCCCCTGGAGTATTCCACAGACCACTGATCAGCACAGTCTCTTCGTGAGGAGACTAGATGAGGTATGGAGTCCAGATCATAGGAAGCAAATGTCCCATTTGACCATTCTTTGGTTGTATTTTACATGGAATATTGCATTCAGTTCTCAGCATTGCATTTTTTTTTATTTTTTTATTCTTTTTTAAATAATATTTTTATTGAGTTCAGAGAGGAAGGGAGAGGGAGAGAGAGATAGAAATATTAATGATGAGAGAGAATCATGGATTGAGCCTGCAACAGGGCATGTGCCCTTGGCTGGAATCGAACCTGCGACCCTTCAGTCCGCAAGCTGACATTCTAGCTACTGAGCCAAACCAGCCAGGGCGAGCATTGCATTTTTTCTTTTGAGAGGCAGCCTCAAAAGAGAATCTTTCCAAACAACATAGACCAAGATAGTAAAAAGCCTAGAAATTAAATGATACTAGGAAAACTGAGGAAGCGGGGCATAAGGGACTGAAGAGGGGTGGGGGGAGGAGGACGAAGGGACTCCTCATAGAGTTCATTGTCATAGGATTTGACCTTGGGATCTTTGGGCATTTAAGAGAAGGAATGTTAGAAATTTCGAATTCTTCAATAAAAGCCATACAAAAGGAGAAGTGGACAAAAATTCTGATTAACCACCCAGCCAGTGTGGCTCAATGGTTGAGCCTCGACCTATGAACAAGGAGGTTTGATTCCTGGTCAGGGCACATGCCCGGTTGCAGGCTCCATCCCCAGTGTGGGGCATGTAGGAGGCAGCCGATCAATGATTCTCTCTCATCATTGATGTTTCTCTCTCTTTCTCCCTTTCCCTTCCTCTCTGAAATCAATAAAAATATTTTTTTAATTTTTTTTTTTAAATTCTGATTAACCAAGCAATTGGATCTAAGGGGCAAATATGAAAACTGGGAGTCACCAGGAAGAAAACCTGTGAAACCTCCTCCTAAACCAGGCTAAGGTAGCAAACAGAGGGACCTGGCTTAGAAGCCCCAGAGCACATAAAAACTTCTCATCAAGCCCTGACCAGTTTGGCTCACTGGATAGAGCGTCGGCCTGTGGACTGAGGGGTCCTGGGTTCGATTCTGGTCAAGGGCATGTACCTTGGTTGCAGACACATCCCCAGTAAGGGGTGTGCATGAGGCAGCTGATCAATGTTTCTCTCTCATTGATGTTTCTAAGGCTATCCCTCTCCCTTCCTCTCTGTAAAAAATCAATAAAATATATTTTTAAAAAAACAACAACTTCTCATCAACCAATAAGGATATCTCCGCCTCTGTTGAGGCCGCAGATAGCTGCTCTGGCGAAATTTCCACTCGGTCCTTCCTCTTATCAGAACGTCGCAAGATGATGACAGAATGGATGTGAACAATTCTGACGGTGTCAACCTAAGGAAAAATCCACAAACATGTTTACTTCTGTCTCTCTCCAATAATATCTCTCTCTGCAATTATAGAATGGCATTGTATTACATTATCAGGTTAAAGATTCCATTTTAGAAAACTGACATTCTCCCCGTGAATGATGGAATGTTTCAAATAAAAGACATCTAACCTCACCATATACATTTCAAAACAAAAAATACTAAAGCTAATATTTACATCAAGGAAGGACTTTTTGAATGATCAACTTATAATCATCTGATTCACAACTATGTGTGAGACACACAAAAGAAGACAATTTTCACAGTGCTGAAAATTCAAATGTTTAAAATGCTAACAGTTGGTTGAGCAAGTATATCATTAATTCATTACATTATAAAACAATGCAGTAAATTAATGCTACAGGAGCTCAAAGGAAAGGAGTCGCTTAGATTAGAAAAAAATCTTCATAGAAAAGGCGGAGCGTTCATATTTCCTGACTACTGTGTGTGCGTGCACACGCATGTGTTTGTGTGTGCGTGCATGCATGTGTGTGTGTGTGTGTGTGTGTGTGTGTGTGTGTAGATAGAATTTCTTAAGATTTCAAATGCATGTGGGTGATATGTTTGGGAGACAAGTTGGCCAACTGATTTAAAGAGAAAACTTGAGATGGAATGGCAGATGGTAAGGCTGAGAAAGAAGGTTAAAGTAAAAATGTGCGGGACCTCAAATGCCAACCCATGACTTGCAGGATGAACTGGACAAAGGAAAATATTTCAGATCGCCTGGACATGAAGGGATGATAACATATTGGACTAACTGGATGGCAGAGATGGAAGAAAGAGATTTGAGATTCATTAAGAGGGAAGAATCCACAAGATTTGGTAGCTTATGGGCCATGGGTGATAGAAGACAGGACAGTGTCAAGGATGACTCTGAAGTTTTAAAGTTGAAATGGTGAAATGGGAGGCAGACCTAAGTTTAGCAAGGATCAGGACGGAAGGAAGGAAGGAAGGAAGATGAGCATGTTTTCAAATGAGTTGATCTGGGATGAGAGGATGCAAATAAAAGCAAGGAATAGTGTGGAGAGACAGCCCAGAGGTCCAGGCCTAAATCAAGGGGGGTACCCACATTTCGGATGGAGTACAATAAGAGGAGCCAGGAAGGAAGACGGAGGAGTCAAAACCAGAACAATGAAATGGTTCAAAAGTTTCAGGGGGAAAGATGGGTGTGGCGTTGCCAGATGTTGCAGGGACATGGGTAAAATCTGAGAGGAGATTTTTGAGTAAGCTACAGACCTACACAGTGCAATACAGCAGCCATTATGCACATGTGGCTATTGAGCTTGAAATGTGGTCCCCTTTCATGGCTTTGTCTACCTGGTGAACTCTCTCATAGCCTTTAAATTCCCTTTGATGAGCCTTTAAATGCTCATCCTATAAAGAATTGATCATTCTCCCCTGTCATACGTTTTTTAATAATACAAATACACATCTTTGCTAGAGTTTATATCATGTTGTGTTCTCTTGGTTGACATAATTTCCTCCTCTACTAGAATGTAAGATCCTAAGAGCAGGGAACATGTTTTAGTTATGTTTTGACCCCAGTGACCATACAGTGTCTGGCAGGCACAGAGTTCACAATATGGAAAATCAAAAGCAGAGACAGAAAGACACTTGACCTTCCAAGGAGCAACAAGACAAAGAGCTGACTTTTCATTGTAGTTTTGATTTGCATCTCCCTAATAGCTAGTGAGTCAAGCACCTCTTCATATATCTGTTGGCCGTTTGTATGTCTTCTTGTGAGAAGTGTCTGTTCAGGTCCTCTGCCAATTTTTTAATTGGATAATTATTTTGCTGTTAAGTTGGATGAGTTCTTTCCAGTTTTTGGATATTAACACCTTGTCGGAGCTATTATTTGCAAATATCGTCTCCTATTCAGTTGGTTGCCTTTTTGTTTTATTGGTGGTTTCAGAAGCTTTTGAGTTTGATAGTTCCATTCATTTTTTTTGTTTGTTTTGTTTTTACTTTCTTTGCCTTTGGGGTCAAATTCATAAAATCTTTTCTATGACCAAGGTCCGTAAGTTTAGAACCTATGTTTTCTTTCTGTTATTTCAGATCTTATATTTAGGTCTTTGATCCCAACACCATTCATTTTTTTAATTTTTATTTTTTGGTAAACCTCCCTCCTGAGGATATTTTCCCCATTGATTATTAGAGCAAGTGGAGGGGGAGAGAGAGAGAGAGAGAGAGAGAGAGAGAGAGAGAGAGAGAGAGAGAGAGAGAGAGAAAGGGAGAAAGAAAGGAAGAAAGAAAGAAAGGAAGAAAGAAAGAAAGAAAGAAAGAAAGAAAGAAAGAAAGAAAGATCAATGTGGGAGAGACACATTGATGGGTTGCCTCCCACATGCACCCCCAGGGGGACGGGGATCGAACCTGCAATCCTTTGGTGCATGGGGCCCACACTCTAACCACTTAAAAACACAGGCCAGGCTTCCCAGAACCATTTATTGAAGAGGCTTTTTTTTTCTCCATTGTACCACCTCACACCTGTGAAAATGGCTATTATCAACAAGATAAGTAATAACAAATGTAGGAGAGGATGTTGAGAAAAAGGAACCCATATTCACTGCTGGTGGGAATGTATACTGGTACAGCCACTATGGAAAACAGTATGGCCCGGCCGGTGTGGCTCAGTGGTTGACATAGAGCTATGAACCAGGAGGTCACAGTTCAATTCCTGGTCAGGGCACATGCCCAGGTTGCAGGCTCAACCCCCAGTAGGGGGCGTGCAGGAGGCAGCCAATCGATTCTCTCTCATCATTGATTTTTCCATCTTTCCCTCTCCCTTCCTCTCTCTGAAATAAATAAAAACATTTTTTAAAAAAGTAAACAGGCCCTAACCGGTTTGGCTCAGTGGATAGAGCGTCGGCCTGGGGACTGAAGTGCCACAGGTTCGATTCCGGTCAAGGGCATGTACCTTGGTTGCGGGCACATCCACAGTGGGGGGTGTGCAGGAGGCAGCTGATCAATGTTTCTCTCTCATTGATGTTTCTAACTCTCTGTCCCTTTCCCTTCCTCTCTGTAAAAAATCAATAAAATATATATTAAAAAAAAGTAAACAGTATGGGTGTTCCTCAAAAAATTAAGAATAGAGTTACCATATGCCCCAGTAATCCCTCTCCTGAGTATCTACACAAAAAAATTGAAAACATTTATTTGCAAAGATATATACATCCCTATGTTCATTACAGCATTATTTATGGTGGCCAAGACATGAAAACAATCAAAGTGTCCCTCAGTAGATGATTGGATAAAAATATAGTACATATATACAATGGAATACTACTCAGCCATAAGAAAAAATGAAATACTGACATTTGCAACAACATGGCTGGGTCTTGAGAATATCATGCTAAGCAAAATAAGTCAGAAAAATTCAAGAACCATATTATTTCATTCATGTGGGATATAAAACTGAAAGCAACAAATGAACAAACAAGAGAAACAAACAAAAAACTCATAGAAACCGACAATAGTATGGTGGCTACCAGAGGGAAGGGAGGTGAGGGGTAGTAAAGGGTAAAGAGGGTAAAAAATATGGTGATGAAAGGAAACTTGACTTTGGGTGGTGGACACACAATGCAATATACAGATGATGTATCATAGAAATGTACTCTTAAAATCTACATACTTGTATTAACCAATGTCACCCAAATAAATTTAATTTTTTAAAAAATATATTTTATTGATTTTTTACAGAGAGGAAGGGGGAGGGATAGAGAGTTAGAAACATCGATGAGAGAGAAACATCGATTAGCTGCCTCCTGCACATCTCCCACTAGGAATGTGCCCGCAACCAAGGTACATGCCCTTGACCGGAATCGAACCTGGGACCTTTCAGTCCGCAGGCCGACGCTCTATCCACTGAGCCAAACCGGTTTTGGCTAAATTTAATTTTTAAAAAAGAAAAAAAGAGCTGACTTTTCAACAGAAACAATCAAAGCCTAAAGAGAATGAGGTAACATGTTAGTGTGCAAAAAGAAAAGATCTGCCAACCAATAATTCTATATTCAAAGAATGCAACCTTCAGAATTGAAGGCAAAATACAGATACGTACATATGCAAAAAGTTGAGAGAATTCATTATCAGCACAGAAATACTAAAGAGAGTTCTTCGGGAAGAAAGAAAATCCCAGCTATGAAGGAAAGAATAAAGAACACTGTAAAGAGTAAAATATGTGTGTAAATGTAAATGAATACTAATTGTACAAAACAGTAATAATAATGTCATGTGCTGTGTAAAATATCCATAGAATTAAAATGCATGACAGCAATAATCCAAAAGGTGGGAGGGTGTAAATGAAATTAAAGTGTTCTTAGATTCTAGTATTAGCAGAGAAATAGTAAAAAAAAAAAATCCATTTTTATTAGACTAACAAGTCAAGAATATATATTATAATATGTAGGATAACCACTAAAAGGAAAGTAAAAGAAGGTTATAACTAATTAATGGAGGATCAAAGTGGAACAATAAAATACAGTTAATGAGTCCAAAAGAAGGCAAGAACAGAGAAGAACAAAACAAAGTGGGTCAAATAGAAAGCAAAAAGATGGAGCAATAACCCACATATATCAATCATTACAATAAAGGTAACTGGACTAAATACTCCAATTAAAAAGATTATCAGGCTGGATTATCAAAACTATATGTTCCTAATAAGACACACTGTAAATATTAATACACAGAAAGGCTAAACATAAAAGAATGGAAAAGATATGCCATGCCAACACTAACTAAAAAGATAAGGTTCCTAAATTCTCATAAAGTTTAATATCTACAGTCAAACCTCGTTTCTCGAACCTCTTCCATTTCCAACATTCGGTTCTTGACCAAGTTGTTCAGAGAAAAGGTCTCTCTTGTCAAACCAAACTTCCACTGACAATCCTTTCAAGCTTATACCTCAGCATGACCAAAAGCACCTCTCAGGCAACAAAGGAAAAAATGCTTTTGTTGCTGGAGAAATCAATC